TCGCGTGCGCGTTCGTCTGCTATCCGCATGCGCTCCTCGTCCTCCGCCACACGTTGGGCCTTCTGTTCATCCTTGGACGTCAGTTCTGGTTGCTGGGACTGGCTAGAAACGCCGGGCGAGTTTCCTCGCATTCCAGGAAGACTAAAGAGCGCGTCTTTTTCTTCCTGGGTCATGGGCACCAGTCCCCTTGGAGCCGTAGGAGGCTTATCCTCTTCGTCTTTCGGATCCAAGTGGCCCAGGATCCCGAGACGACGATTCACTTCTGCGATCTCGTCCTGTGTCATCGGGATAAGTGGCGGATGGCCCTCTTTATGAAGGGTTTTGCCCCTGTTGGGGCTCAGACCTTCATTGTTGCCAACGGGGCATCCCGGCCTGTGGTTCTGGAACGGCTCGGAACAAGGTCCGCAAGCTGCTTGAGGCCTATACTGCTTGCGAGCCGCGATGATGTTTCGCAGCTGGTCCGCACTTCTTCAATTTCAGGGCGGCGGATGTTTGTTGCAAGCTGATATCCTCCGCGGATGGCCTTGCCCTCAGTGTCCCTATAGGCAGGGTTGCCCTTGCCGAAGGCCGAGTGTTCCCCTTTTCGGCGTCTTGGGTCATTATACGGAAGCAGCTGGCCACCTCTCCTGAGAGCGTGTTCTTTCGGGCCAGCCTGCCTCCATTCACGAGGAAGCCGAGCCTGTGGATGTGGCTCTCCTCTGACGCGCGTATGGGAACGAGACCTTCTGGTGTTCTCATCAGAAGAGGCTGCTGAAGCAGCCTGAGCGGTAACCGGTGGAGGCGCCTGCGGAGGCTCCTGTGCGATCCCAGGTGGATCGTCCGACAGAGGCAGGTTTCCCTGCTGGCTGGAGCTCGGCGCAAATGGCGCTTGTGCCGATGGTGATGATGATTCAGACTCGTCAGGATCGAAGTCAACCTCTTCCTCACCATTGACTTCCATCATGAGGATTATAACTTCATCCTCATCTAGCCCGCAACCATCGCCTTCTTCTTCTTCTGATGTAGAACTACCAATGATGATGGCCATTGGCGCAGCCGGTATAGGCAGGTTTCCCTGCATAGCCGGCGCCTGTGCGTCGCTCGGCTGCCCCGGGGTAGGAGGCGCTGTTGTCGGCTCAGGCTCGTTGCCGAGCACAGGCTGCCCGGCAATGTTGCGCACGGCCGCATGGTTTGGCCACATTCCCACCGCCTGGAGACCCCATCCTGGCGGAGGAAGATCATGACCGCGCATGGCGATAGCCATTTCCAGAGCATTGCGCCATCTACCGCGGGAGCATATCAGGTGTCTCTGCACGTCCTCAGGATGCACGCTGTCAATGAGAGTCAGAGCTGCCAACAACAACTCCGAGCTACCGCAGGCGTCGGTATCCTGCAGTATCATGCTGTCAGCTTCGATGTGTTCTTGACTCTCGGGATACGCGGTGATAAGTATCTCATGCATCCTCATGAGGGTCTGCAGGAGAGTGCGTGGTCCGTATTCGCCAGGAGCAAGCGAACCAGGGGGTATAAATGGCGTCTCTGGTTCACCTGCATTGAAAGCTTGAACGAACGCCTGAGACTCCATATCTATTAAGTCTTCAGTTGTTTGGGGATAGTCCCCCATCAAAGTAGGCCTGTTTCCAGGCGGGATTTCGTCTGGAGGTTGGAGGTTGCGTTTAACCTCGGAAGGCGAGGCCTCTACAGTGATGTCCTCGTCACTGCTTTCGTAAGCCATGATGTTACCTGGGTCCCCGAACATCCAGTCGAAGAAAGAAAGAGGCTGGTTCCCCAGCGCACCGTGATCCACGGGAGTGAGCTCGTTGTTGCCAATAACGAACCGGCGGACGTACTCGAGGTAGTACGCGTACAATCCATGACCATACGCCTCGAGCTCGTCGACGTTGCCCATGCAACTGACCCAAGTGTAAAATATCTGCTCCATGGCTTCAAAATCCTGGAGGCTCAGATACTCGATGAATGGTTCACTTGAGCCAAAATGGGCTTCGGTCGACCTGCCCTTTCCATTTCCCTTCGCTGGACAATCTCACACAAGATGGTCGGTAATGTCACATTCATGGCATTGAAGAACCTGGCCGTCTCTACCTCGCGGGTTTCCCCGCCTACCCTTGCCTTTTCCCGGGGTCTCTCTACGGCCCTTGCCACGGCCCTTTCCCCCAAAGAATATCTCATCATATTGTTCATCTGAGAGCCTCTGGAGAAATGCCGCGATGCCTCGTCCGTTCAACCTCCGACGACCTCGCTTACCTTTACCTTTTCCCTTAAAACTCCTCCGTATCCTCCTTCTAACACGACGCACTGGTTTTCGTGTGAACCTCCTCCACCTTCGTTTGGCCTGTTGTAATAACCAGAACAAATGTTCAGCACGCTGATTGTCATTATCCATATTCATAATATCTGACCAATCTAAGGCTTCAACACCGTCTGATGATATAGTATCTGTGTCGGTGCCGGAGTCGAAATCCTCGTCTCCCAAGTAGGTGGATACACCGTCGGTTAGGGGGTTTGATTCACCCCATAAGGAACGGTGTGGTTGTGGTTCTCTGGAAGGAGGGCTGGTTGCCCAGCTTGGTTGTGATCGATCTCCTGCTAGTAGAGCAGTGGATTCTCCAGGATCATCAGCCCATATGCTTGAGGGCCCGTTCCCAGGCTGGGCTTCAGTAGTCAAGGTAGTGTAGAAATTTCCACTACCAGATCCCCTTCCCCTTCCAAACACAGATCCTATATTACCAGGAGACCGTTCGGATAGGTGGCCTATCGAACGCATCCTCTCCAGCAACTCATCATACTGTTGTTGTGTTCGGGGCATTTGGTGATTGAGTGGCTGTAAGAGTTGCGTGGCTCGCTGGTTGCCGACGCCTAAGGCGCGGAACAAGATCGTGGTTAGTAGTTGGAAGTTGGGAAGGTCAAATCCCACCGACTGTGCCTCAAGTCGGGCCATTTCGAATCGTGTAAGGGTGACATCGATTCGTTCCCCGTGAGGCACGTGGAAGTCGATGAGTTGTGTGCCGGAAGTGAGCTGTCGCTCATCTTCCAGGCGCTCGAACTTCATGCTTAGGAGGAACATGATGTAGGTCACTGGGTCGGTGTGGACCCCATCGATGTCAGCACCATAATTTATAATGTCAGGCGGTACCCTCATGGCGAGTGTCCTCGCTAGGCCACCTAGGCCGCGTTGTATTGCGGCCGCTTGGGCCTGTGGCGTCATACGTCCGCTTGTGACGTTGAGCCATGCGTTGACCTCATAAACGTACTCACGGCAAGGTACGTTGCCTTGAGGGTCCCAATATGGGCCATGTGTTTGCCCATCGGTGCTGTTGTCTCCACGACGCATGTGTCCGATTGCTGCCCCCAGCGCGAACCATATGATAGCGAAGATAACCAGCCCAAGGCTGTGTAGATAAGGGCGGTTATTAGGCGCGTTGCCGCGCTGGGGTAGCGCCTTGTCGAGTCTTCGAGGCGCTCTATCTGGCGGATCTCTCCGCCCATGCTTCAAGTATTGCGCTTTTGGCTCGTTGCCGAGCGGTTGGTGGTAGCGCAATGATGAAGCGTATATGGTACCAATGTCGTTGTCTAGACGTCGTACCTCTCGTGTCGCTTCTTGCTCTTGGATAGATCCTCGTAAACGTACTGGGAGTGGTAGCGCAGGGTGGTAGGTGGTCACGAAGATCGTGCCGAAGAGTATGAGGCTAAGAAGAGCAAGAGTTGACCACACGAGAGTGCGGCCAGCTCCGCTACCAAGTCGAAAGTGAGCCTGGTAACTCAAATAGCATCCGATTCCATGGGAAGCGGATGGCAAATAGCGTCCATTCCTCTGCTGCGGTGGTTCAGTATGGGGAATAGGCGGATAAGATAGGATTAGATCGATGTATCGGTCTTTCCAGCACATAGCGAACACTCGCGGTGTCCGGGCAAATAGGGCGCGCGTGCCTTGCGCCAAAGGCAACGGCGCGCGAGCTATGCTCCCGATACTATAACAGATCCCAAAGAGCTACCCTTAAAGTAAGCCACCCAAACCTCTCGAGGTGCCCAGGGGAGGAGGAGGAGGAGGAGGAGGAGGAGGAGGAGGAGGGGAAGGAGGAGGAGGAGGGGGAGGAGGGGTGCCCGCCAGGCGAAACCTCGTCCCCACCCCCAATTGCCAAGAAGGCAAAGCAATCACTCCTCGTTAGGGCCCCAGCACAAAAAATGCTTGCAAAAGCAAGAGGCTGAAGCCATTCCACCAGCTGCCATTCGCCGGGGGCGTCGAAGAGGTGGGGCGCCCAAGCGACACCTTATCAAGGGAACTGCCAAGGCTTGCGCAGAGGCGTGTGGAAGAGAGGAACAGCAAGCGGCATATGCATACATTCGCGGAGCTCCGCACGGATTTCTTGGATCGGCGCTTGGCCGCCACCAGGGGAGGCCGACTCCGATCTAAGAGATCCGCGCGGAGCTCCGAAAGTTGATTGTCACGCCGTTGTCTTGCTGCTCTTCGATGGAACGAAGACCTCGCGGGGGAGAGATCATGACTCCCGCCATGACGTCCAAACCCACCCACCCCCGCTGGCCACCACCACCCTCTTTCGGCGGCGAGCCCCGAGGGAAAGTGAGAAGGGGTGGGCCTTCTCAGAAGGCTCGGGAGGTCCCCCAGCCAGAAGTGGCCGTCGTGGGCGCTGTCGGCCGGAGAGTCACTGGGGAGGGCTGGGTAAGACAGCGGTGCTTGGCCCTCGAGGCCCCCGTCGTCGCCACGGCTGGGCGCAGCTCGAAAATTGGCTGGACGCAGCTCGAAAACCGCCCCCCGCTGGTCGCAACCCCCCTCTTGGCCACACCCCGTCGCCAGACAAGCGCGCTCCACTGCTCGCAGAGCAACTGCTCGCAAACGGCCTGGATCCGCCACGGGGGAGTCACAGTCCATGACGTGGAGGCGGACATACTTTTGTTGAAGTTCGCGAGTAGGCACTTTGCGAGTAGCGAAACGCGCTCGGTGAGTCTCGAGGCCCCCCCTGGCGCGCTGCGGCGCGTCGGTCCTCCTGCGTCGCATGGCGCACGAAGGTGCCGGGCGGAGGCTCCAGGAAGCTGCCAGGTGGAGGCTCCAGCACCTCTCGCAAGGAGCTCCTTTTCTCTCCTGCTCCAGCAGTTCCGTCGCCGCCTCCTCCTCCTCCTCCTCCTCCATCCCTTTTCCTTTTCATACATATAGTTTTCTCCCTGTCGCACCGGGAGGACGGTCGTAAGGGCGGGCTCGGCGTTTCGCCTGAGACTTCCTCACCATTTCTGACCCTGAAGCTGAAAATTGGCAACAGCTTCACAGATGGAGGGCAGGTGATTTTTTTGAATGTGGCTCTCGTCTTAGCGCCACGCACATTCTTTTATGCTTTTGCAAGAAGTTCACGGATTGAGGGCGGGCGGTTTTCAAAATGTGGCAGTCGCCTTAGCGCCGCGCACACTCGTCTTGAAAATGTGCAAGAGCTTCGCGGATGGAGGGCGGGCGGTGTTCAAAATGTGGCTCTCGCCTTCGCGCCGCGCACATTCGTCTTGCAAAATTACAGCCGTGTCCCATGGCCAACGAACCAGCAACGGTGTTCTGGAAGGATTCAGGATTGCGAGGGTGCAACAGTTACGTTGATTCGCGGTGATGAAGTCCCAGGAGTGGCGTTCTGGTACGATTCAGGATCACAAGACGCAACAGTCAGGTTAAGCTGTGTTGTTGGAGTCCCGATTATGGTGCTGTAGCATGCTTCAGGGCCTTCAAAAATTTGTCTGTCAACGAGGCAGTTCCCCCAGTGGAAATGAACCCTTATAGGGGAATACGAAGTGGGAGCTCGGAGGGGGGATTTATTCCAACACTGTTGATGAATGTTGGGTTTACACTGGTCCTCCTCCTCCTCCTCCTCCTCCTCATCATCATCATCATCATCATCATCATCATCATAATCATAATCATCAGCATCATCACCATAATCAGCATCATCATCATCAGCAGCATCATCAGCATCATCACCATCATCATCATCAGCATCAGCATCATCATCCTGGCTTCTCCCTCACTTGCCGGGTCCTCCTCTCCCTTCCTGCCACATCACTGCTCTTCGCTCCTCGCTCCTCTTCCTCCTCCGCGAACCCTACTGATTACTCCTCCTTCCTCCCTCCGCCTCCCTGCCCCTACATCCTCCTCCTCCTCCCTCTTCCTCCCTCCTCCTCTCTCCTCCCTCCTTTCTTCTCCCTCTTCGCTCTTCGATCTTCGCTCCTCCTCCCTCCTCCTCCTCCTCCTCCTCCTCCTCCTCCTCCTCCTCCTCCTCCTCCTCCTCCTCCTCCTCCTCCTCCTCCTCTCATCCCCTCCCCTCCCCTCCCCTCGCCTACCTCCCCCGCATCTCCCTCCTACTACCTCCTCACTCCTCCTCCTCCGCCTCCTTCCTCCTTCTCATCTCCTCCTCCTATCTCCTCCTCCTTTCCCTTTCCCCTCCTCCTCCCTCCTCCTCCTCCTCCTCCCCTCCGCTCCTGCCTCCTCCTCCTCCTCCTCCTCCTCCCTTACCTCCTTCCTCCCCTCCTCCTCCTTCTCTCCTCCTCCTCCTGCTCCTCGTAAGCCCTCCTCCCTCCCTCTTCACCTCACCTTCTCCTCCCTTTCCTCCTCCTCCTCCTCCTCCTCCGCCTCCTCCTTATTCCCCCCTCCAACTTATGGTGGTGGTGGAAGACAGGCCCATCACCCCTACGGCGTGCCCAACCCAGAAGGTGCATGACTGCGTCTCGTGCGGAGAAGGCGTCGTAGACGCCTGCCGCCACCAAGGTAACTGCTCGGACTGCGTATTCGGAACCACGGTGACCCTCAACGCGGAGCTGGACAACCTCACAGCCGCGAGGAGAGAAGTCCACATCATGAAAGAAACCAGGCCCCGGTGCGGAACCTCAAGAGGGGCTCGAAGCCGCTGCTCATTGCCAAGAAGCGACGAGCCCTCATCACCAGCAAGAGCGGCATCCAGCCGCATCCGGTCGACCAGGCACTACGGGCCGATCTGGCCAGGACAACGACATCACCCAGTACGTTTGCAGGCACCAAATCCGCCCTGCTCTGCGAGTGGTGCTGCAACCCCAGCAACGAGCTCAGCGCAATGTGGCAGAACAAGGGAGGAA